ACAAATAGCAGATTAAACATGGAGCCGTAATTAATGTCCTGTTTATAATTGGACTCACAACAAATACAAAAGTCGTTAAATGAGCCAATCAGACTTTTCAGTTATCACTTGTCACCATGACAACGAGAGATAACGGAAACTCAATCAAATTAAAATCTCTCGAACGCATCGAGAAATTTTTCTCAAGTTCGGCTCCGGAGAAAAATCTGTAACTGGAAACGTGAACAAACTGGAATCTTCATCTCAACGTGACATCATCTGTTTATTTTAAAGAAAAGTCTTTGTCCAATCAGGAAGCAGTTTATAAACTAGAATAATGATTTTATTAAATGAGTTCTTGATATACTACAAAAAATACAAATACTAATATTAATCATTTGTTGTTTTCCTGGAGAAAAGTTTGTCGATTTATTCACGAGGTGAGAATCTCGGTAACATTACCGAACTCTCTGTGACCGGGTCCGTGTGAACGCAGCTCGTCAGGGGTCATGAGAGGACGCGGCGATCAGGCAAACCAATCTGTCAGAGCCGAGGCCTCCGAGACAGGCGGCCATTATTACGTTTCTAAGGGGGGGGGGCACGTTAGAGGGATTATCACAGAGCCGTGAACTTGTCATCTCCTGAGGGAGACTACGTGACGCTGCGGCAGGACACCGAGCTTCACTGTATCACTTCCATATTAATGAGTCATAATTATAATTCTATAATAAAGTGATAAACTGAAGCAGCAGAGATTCAAACGTCTCGGCCTGTTTATCGGCTTCGTACCTGTCGTCTGGAAAGTGCAGCGATTTGGACACGTTCAATATTAATACAACTATAAAGAGTCTGTGAGACGGACACGTCTGTGAGACGGACACGTCTTCCAGGTTGGACTGAGACACATTCACAGAATCACTTCCTGTTTGAAGACAAAGCGCAACGTTCATTTGTTGCTGCGATGCTTCAAATTGAGCTGAATTAAAGAGCTTTTATTTTGAAAAGTTGTGAGATTGTGTTTAACTCTGAAACAGTCGACAAATAAAAAGTGATTGATTGATTGACAAGTGAACCGCAATAAAGAAAATAGGAAGGGAGGGGGCGTGAGAGAGGCGGAGGGGAGGGTACAGGAGGAGGAGGAGGAGGGGGAGAGATGGGGTGAAGAGAGGAGAGCTGTCCTCAGAATGACCCTCAGCAGCACCAGACAGCCCCCCCCCCCCTCACTCTCTCACTCCACATCTCTCAGTGCTCGCTCGCTCTTTGCTGCGTAATCGGCTGAAAAAAAAAAAAAAGGAAAAGCGCTGCGAGCACAGCCGGGACGTCTGCACTCTTAAAAACCCTCATGAGCAGGTTCAGCACTGAACCCCAGAGTTTTTATTCACATTACATTTGTTTGGAGGACATCAGACGCGTTCCACACAAATCCCTGAGTCGGCAGGTTCACGTATTAAATATGACCATTAACTCATGATGTGCATTTTCAACTTGGACATTTAAAAAATATACATTTCTAAACAAAGTAAATGAGAAGATTCAACTGTTGCAGAACTTTAACGAGTCACGACTGAGTTTATCTGAACCGAGAGATTCGATGCTGATCTGATGAAACTGAATGAAAAGATGGAAACACATGTTGTTGAGACACCACTCACAGGTAATGAAGCTACTTTAGATAAGACATGTCCCCGACATGTCCCCGACATGTCCCCGACATGTTCTGTATGTTAGAACAAATGTCTGTCTCTGGACATTTTCACAGAATTCATCTGTTTAATAAAAACAATATTTATGAGTTTGTGTGATTTGATTGGATTCGACTGTTGGGGGAGGAGCTGAGTCCGTTTCTAGTTTAATGTGTGTTTGACTTTAAATCGTCTAAATTTAAATCTGTTGTCTAATAAAACATTAGGTTGGACACACGTTTGTTAACATATGATAAAGGACACACACACACACACACACACA